GCTCTTGGGGTCCGTGTTTAGAAAGGTGCCGTACCTTGGGTTTCGGGACTCGCCCCTCTTGGCTCTTGGGGTCCTTGTTTAGAGAAAGGTGCCCTACTCAATGGCTCCACAACATAGACCCCGTTTAGGGATTTAGGGGTTTAGGGTCCAGGGGTTTAGGGGTTTATTTTGGTTTAGGGGTTATAGGGGTTTAGGGGTTATAGGGGTTATAGGGGTTATAGGGGTTATAGGGGTTATAGGGGTTATAGGACTTGTGGAGGATGCAAGAGGCCAGACCCAGGAGTAAGCTAGGTACAAGAAGGGTGCCCCTTCTGGGTTTAAAGGGGTTTACAAGGGAACCCCAAACCCTAAGAAAAGGGAACAAGGGCCTACTCTGGGTCCTAGCTACCCTAAACCCCTAAACCCCTAAACCCCTAAACCCCTAAACCCCTAAACCCCTAAACCCCTAAACCCCTAAACCCCTAAACCCGTATAACCCCTAAACCCCTAAACCCCTGGACTAAACCCCTAAACCCCTCTAAACCCCTAAACCCCTCTAAACCCTAAACCCCAAACCCTAAACCCTAAACCCTAAACCCCTAAACCCCTAAACCTTGTTCTGAGGGATGCCGGCCTCAAGGCTCTTCTGCATCTTCTGCTTCGAGCTCCGAAGCGCTTGGATCTCGTCCTCCATAAGCAAAAAAGGGGCGAATTTGGGTTCAGAGTCTAGGGTTTGGGGTTTAGGGGTTTAGGGGTTAGGGGTTAGGGGTTTAGGGTTTAGGGTTTAGGGTTTAGGGTTTAGGGTTTAGGGTTTAGGGTTTAGGGTTTAGGGTTTAGGGTTTAGGGTTTAGGGTTTAGGGTTTAGGGTTTAGGGTTTAGGGTTTAGGGTTTAGGGTTTAGGGTTGTGGGAGGGACGCCTGGGTTTCTTTGTTTGGGAGGAAGCTGTCAAGCCCGCACGACTATTCGGCAGCCCAAGCAGGCCTGACGAAACTTCAGCTTCGCCTTGTAGTCTGCCTGGGGACACAAGGGGCTCCAGGGTTTGGGGCCCTAAGCCCTAAGCCCTAAGCTTTTGGGCTTAGGAGGCTTAGGGGGTTGGGGGGCTTAGGGGCAGTAGATGAGTTCTCGGCCTGGTCGTCCTTGCAGCGAGCCAGTGTCTGCTGCTCCTTGCAGGCTTTTTCGGGTCCAGGGGATCGGATCGGACTGAATGTCTGGAAAGGGGGGGGGGGGGCTTATTCAATTTCAATCCCGGGGTGGAGCCGAAAATTTTCGGGGGTTCTGGGATTTCGGGCTTCAATTGGGCCTCTTTGTGCTGCTTCACAAGGTGCTCGTAGTTGCCCTTCAGCTGGGCAGCTCGGATGGTGAGCCGCTCTTCCTGCGGCCGGGGAGGGTGGGTGGGGGGGGTGGGGGGGGTTGGGGGGGGCTGGGTGGGGAGGGGGGTGGGGGGGTGGGGGGGTGGGGGTGGGGCTTTGGGTCTACTGTACCAGAAGGGAATACTATCAGCAATTATTCCGACCCCTACAAGCGGGTTTGGCCTTGCGGCTTGCGGCTGGCGCTGCCACAATGAAGCCGTGCAAGGTCCCCAGCAACAGCATACTGAAAAGAACAAAACATGCTGAGGGGGTTTAGGGTTCAGGGTTTAGGGTTTAGGGTTTGGGGTTTGGGGTTTAGGGTTTAGGGTTTAGGGTTTAGGGTTTAGGGTTTAGGGTTTAGGGTTTAGGGTTTAGGGTTTAGGGTTTAGGGTTTAGGGTTTAGGGTTTAGGGTTTAGGGCTTAGGGTGCAAAACTCGTGCAGTTGCTGATTGTCTACGAGATGCCCTTCAAAGGGCCGAAGGGCCGAGGGTGGACCCCAAACCCGTTGGGAGGCTGAAGGTGCTTGGAGGTTCAGGGTACGTATCACCCTAAACCCTAACCCTAACCCTAAACCCTGAACCCTAAACCCTGAACCCTAAACCCTAAACCCTAAACCCTGAACCCGGAACCCTAAACCCTAAACCCTAAGAACCTCCAAGGGGGGACCTCCTGCCGCTCTTCGCGAAGGAGGCGCGTCAGGTGCTTCTGCTTCTCCTTTGGGGCCAAACGGGCTTGGGGCGTCTTGGGTTAACGTGCAGTCCGGGCCTCAGGGTTTGGGTGAGAAATGCTGAGTCTGTTTTGTAGCATCCAGTGGTTTCTGGCGAGCGCCCCATAGCTTCTAAACTCCATACCCCAACAGCCCTAAACCCTAACCCTAAACCCTAAACCCTAAACCCTAAACCCTGAACCCCAAATGCCCCCCTCCTACTGCCAGTTGACAGACCCACGCCTCGCCGTGGGCAAGTTCTTCTCGCCGGGCGTTGACCTCGCTCTGCTTGGACTCAAGACCTGGGCCGCTTTTTAGGATTCAGGGTTTAGGGATTTAGCGCTTAGGGTTTAGGGCTTAGGGTTTAGGGTTGGAACTCAGGCCCTGAACCCCATAAGCCCCAAGAGCTGAGACACCGCAATCGTTTCTAGGGTTCAGGGCTTAGGGTTTAGGGTGTAGGGTTTAGGGTTGGAACCCCATAAGCCCCAAGAGCTGAGCCTAAACGCTGGAGACGAACCTCTGCACCCCGGATGAGGCAGTGCTCTGCTTGGGCAGGGGCCTTGTCTCATGTCTTTCAGCTCCTCCAACGCCAAGCGTTTCTAGGATGGCCCTTACAGGCACCTTAAAAATACTCCTGAACATGAGTACCTCTTAAACCCAAACAGGGAAGCCATAAAATGTCCCAAGGGCCTACCTCGGTTTGCAAGCCTTAGCTGAATTGACCCTTGGTACGCTCTGACAAACTTTTCCTCAACATGGCCTTTCTAGGTCCAATAAAGGTGCAATATCCAAAAGGAGGCGATCTACTCAGATTAGATTTAGCTTCGGGGTGCGAGGGTCTGGGGGTGAGCTGTTGCGGGATTTTGTAGTTTGAAAGTGGGGGGGGTTTAGGGTCTGGGGCCTAGGGCCTAGGGTTCCCCGTAACGTCGATGTGCAGGGCTCCGGCTTAGCTTATCATGGGATCCTGCAACGCCCCACCTCAAGCAACCCCTGTTCCAGAGTTCTTCCTGACTTGCAGCACCGGGGGGGGGGGGAGGGGAAGGTCCTTGTCTAGCTTCTCCTTCCGCTTCTGCTGCTGGTCCGCCTCCTGGCACGGTGAGGACACCAACAAATGTTGCGGCAACTGAACCCTAAGCCCCAACCATCAACCCCCCCGCCTAGCCCTAACCCTAGCCCAAAACCCTAAACCCTAAACCCTAAACCCTAAACCCTAGCCCAAAACCCGCAACCGGCAACCCCAAAAAAACCCACGCTCCAAAGACCTCGGCAGCTCCCTTTGCTGCTCCCATGCCATCCCCAAGCTCTCAAGCTCCGAGGCCAAAGCCTCCTTTTCATGGGTTCCCCCTACTACCCCCCTATTAAGGCTAAGGGATACTTAAGCCTAACTAAGGTTTCCATAAAACCCCTACAGCCCAACAGACGAACTCGAGCTCCTGGGCCTACAGGCCTTCTCCGGAACCCCTGCTTGTTTAAGTCTCAACAGTGGTATATTCGGAACTCAGAACACCAAGTGAAGGTACTCTTCCCCGAACCCTGAGCCTCAACTGAACCCTAAACCCTAAACCCTAAACCCGTGCTGGGATGCCTCAAGCAGCTTCTGGAAGGCTTCCCGAAGGGACTGAAGCTCGCCATTGCCCAGCTGACGCTCCTGCAGGGTTTAGGGTTTAGGGTTTGGGGTTTGGGGTTTAGGGTTCAGGGTTTAGGGTTCAGGGTTCAGGGTTTAGGGTTTAGGATTTCGGGTTTAGGGTTTCGGGTTTAGGGTTTAGGGTTTCGGGTTTGTGGACTTTGTTCGGGCGCTTGATTCACCTCCCCAAAAATAGCTAGAACTAAGCCCCTCTAAACCGATGAATGTCGTGGCTCTTAGGGCCCTAAAACCCCAAACCCCACAACCCTAAAAGGAGAAGATATTGCGAGCATCTCTGGTGAAAACGGCGCGTCTGCGAGTTGAGTTGCAGGTCCGAGACTACTTGGTTTGGAGGGTTTGGGGGTTTGGGGGCTTCGGGGTTTTTGGGTTTTTGGGTTTTGTGGCTTTGTGGCTTTGGGGTTTTGGGGAACCCTGAACCCTGAACCCTGAACCCTGAACCCTAAACCATAAACTAAACCCTAAACCCTAAACCCTAAACGTTGTGTTCAAATCCGTTGTGTTCTTTGGGGCGGCTTTGGGGCTTCGGAGTTCGCAGGTTCTTGGCGGCTTGGGGCCCGGTTTACAAAACCTCGCAACCCCTAAGCCCCTCAAGAAGCGAAGCCAACCCTTTGAAGGCTCAGGAGCTTCCACAAAAAAGGCGTGGACATAGAGGCCTTCAGGCTGTCGAGTTCATCCGGGGGGTTTACGAAAAAAAGTAGGGGACCCCCTTTAAAATTGACCCCCAAGTAGCAGGATTCCCTTACATTAAGGACCCCTAGGTTTGGCACCCCGAGTTTCGGAAAACCCCCCCGCAGAACCTAATCAGGGCGCTTTAAGGGCTCGACAGCTCCGGGCTTCTCTATGCTTCCCGCGGATCCTGCTCGAGCTTCCCGACCTTTGCCGTCAGGTCGGTGTTCTGTTGCTGCATCTGCTGGACCTGCGGAGTGGGGTTCGGAGTGGTAGTTTTGGGGGTAGACCCTGAACCCTGAACCCTAAACACCTAAACCCTAAACCCTAAACCCTAAACCCTAAACCCTAAACCCTAAACCCTCAACCCTAAACCCTAAACCCTCAACCCTACCCTACACCTGGACCTTGGAGCTCGTGCTCCCGGCCTGGCCCTGGAGCATGTCGCGATGCTTCACCAGGTCGTTCTTTTCCTCCCCACAAGGTTTAGGGTTTAGGGTTTAGGGTTTAGGGTTTAGGGTTTAGGTTTGAGGGTTTAGGGTTCAGGGTTTAGGGTTTAGGGTTTAGGATTTATGGTCTAGGACTCAGGGCTTTAGGCCTAAGGGAACCTACGCCCCTGAAAGCCCTAAAAAACTCGAAAATGCCATAGCGCTTCGGCAGATCAGATGATCTAAAAGTCCTGAACCAGCTGGTTCACCATGTTCTCCTGGTTGATGCTCAGGCCAGCACCTCGAGCCATGCGAGCGGGCGTTGTAGAAACTTCACGCGCCGCGAAGACCCTAAACCCCAAAACCCAAACCCTTAAACCCTCGGCGCCGCGTGCACCCCCTGCCTTGTTCCACCAGTCGGCCCAACTTCGTGATCTCCGACTTCCTTGGCTGGTCTGGAGCTCGCATGGGGGATTCCGAAAGTGGGTTTAGGGGGGTTTGGGGGTTTAGCGGGGGAGGGTGCAAAAAAGAGAGGCACCCCCCGAGCCGCCTGACGGAAAACCTACAAACCCCACCTGAACGCCAAAAAGGCCCAAGCCCCTCCAAACCAAAAGCTGGCTGGTTCTTAGTTGGGAAAGAGGGATTCCCTACTAAGAACCAGGGGGAAAAAGGCTCCACCGCCCTCCCCACCATCCCCTCCAAACGAAGACTTAGCCGCACCCTTAAGCCCTAAACCCTTAAAGCCTTAAACCCTAAACCCTAAACCCTTAAACCTTAAACCCTTAACCCTTGAACTCTTAGAACCCTTAAAGCCTAAATCCTATAACGCTAAACCCTAAACTGAATTTCATGGCAGGGTGTCAGGTTCTGGATGGTTTCCCTGGCTCGCTGCTCCTTCTCATGCGACGCCTTCCCAAAGGTGCCATTTTGGCCAGGGGGGGAGGCGCTTTTAGGGTTTAGGGTTTAGGGTTACATCAGTAGTCTTGTCATTTTGTCGTGGTGATAAGGCTGTTTTGCAGGGTTTGGGGAGTGGGGGGGGTTGTTTGGCGGCGGGGTGGGGGGGGGGCGGGGTTGGGGCGGTTGGGGTGTGAGAACACTGGCTTTGTTCGGGAGGCATGGGAAGCTAGAGATTTGGGCTTCTTGTGGAGAGTTTAGCCCCCGTCGACAGCCTCTCCTCCCAGTCCTAAGCGTACTTGGCTTGAAGCCTAAACCCTAAACCCTAAACCCTAAACCCTAAACCCTACGTAAACCCTGAGGGCTTCCTATGAGGACCTCGACCATCTTCCACGCACGCTCGATCTCCTTCTTGAGCGCGGTGATGGTGGCCTGGTCTTCCTGCACAGGGTTTAGGATTTAGGGTTTAGGGTTTAGGGTTTAGGGTTTAGGGTTCAGGGTTTAGGGTTTAGGGTTTAGGGTTTAGGGTTTAGGGTTTAGGGTTTAGGGCTTAGGGTTTAGGGTTTAGGGTTTAGGGTTTAGGGTTTAGGGTTTAGGGTTTAGGGGTATCTGGGAGAAAATGTCAGCTGCACCGGGGACTTGCGGTATGGAAGACCCAACCCACCCCCGAAGCCCACACCCCGAACACAGGTTGGACACCGAAACCCTTGGGGTCATACTCCTAACTATGACCCGCTTTAGCACAGCCAGGGACAAAAGTGAAACAAAACATATTCCGAACATGATCCTGTTGAACAACACAGGAAGTTAAGGGACAACAACAAGCGTTCCAAGTAATTAGGATCCTTTAGAGCCCAGTAATGGAACATACGAAACTTCTCAGGGCTGACCAAACTCAACTCCTGAACAACTGACACCCTGGCGGCTGGAAAAAAAAAACACCGGCGCAAGGTGTAGCAAAGGGGTTTATGAGGACCCTGAAACCTAAACCTATACTGAACTTGGAACCCTAGCAATTTTTTGCTGCTTCTCAGGAATTGTAGTACCCCAAAAATAGAAAATATCTCCAAGTACCCCTAAGAAACAGTGAACCCCCACCCCCCTGGCCTGAGAGAGCTTCAGCGCAGTCTGGACCTGCCCAAGCAAGGCGGACTCATTTAGGGTTTAGGGTTTAGGGTTTAGGGTTTAGGGTTTAGGGTTTAGGGGTTTAGGGTTTAGGGTATAGGGTTTAGGGTTTAGGGTTTAGGGATACAGCAGATGTCGCGCTATTTTTGGGCCCCAAACCCTAAGCTCGGAACAGGTTTTGGCCCTGAAGATTCGGCTCAACTTCTTTGCGTTCAACTCCGTTGACACATTCATGCTATTGAGCGATTGACATGCTCCGCGGAAGCCCGAGTTTTCCTGTAGACCACCCGTCCCGGTCAACACAAAAACTGTGCGAGCGACAGGGTGACAGCAGAAGTGACCAATCCCACCTTGACCGCATTCTGCACAATTTCAGCGTTCAGCTCCCTGCATTTTTTGATGAGGTGCTTCCTGAGAAAGCAGATGCGAAGATGAGAAAACATGGAGCTGCAGGTCAAGCGTCTGGTCCCGAGACGGCGTAGCATCTACTGCTCCGGGCTAAGGGTTCCGAGTTGGTGCCAACAAGGAAGCCTCAGAACTTGTAGCGATTTGCATCTGGGCAACAGGCTCGCTATCGTGCGATTTCTTCAGCGCTCGGTGCAGCTTCTCGTACCTCTGCCGCTCAGGCACCAGGTGTATCTCGAAGCAGGACGGCGGGTCTAAGGAGTCAGGGCTTGGGGACATGGGATCACTGCAATGCGACATATAAGCCACCTCCAGCAGCAACAACAACCCCCCGCCACCGGCAGTACCGAAACCCAGCTACCAAACCACCACAAAGCAACAACCAACACTCAGCCGCTGCTGCCTAAAGCCGCAGCATAGAAATCTTGGGAAAATGCTGGTGAAAATCTGGACATCTCTTTATTCGATTTCCCTATGTCAACACAGGCCATCGCTACACTCCTGCCCTCGGGATGGCACTCGTTGCGGAAGTGCTCCAGGGACTTGTCCCCAACGAGTTCTTGGAGGATCTCCTGATTCGGGAATCAAGGGACTAAAGGAGGGACCCTTACCTCAGGGGTTATTCAGGGGGTATTGAAGGTATATTTTTCGGGGGTTATAAAGGGGAAGAAGATTGAAGGTCCCTTCTAGGGGTCCCTCCTTATACCAAAAAAGGGAAGGATGGCCTTAAAGATCCGTAAACCTTTAGGGAACTGAGGGTTCTTATCGCCCATTTCGTTGGAGTGGGAGTTCTTCAGGCCCATTCGGGTTTAGGGTTTAGGGTTTAGGGTATGTGTATAAGGATTAAAAGGGCTCCTGCGTGCAGAGGGATTGGGGGCGACTGAAGGATGATCTGCCGGGGGGGTAAACCCTATTACCCTCAAGCCCTGAAAACACAAAACCCTTAAAACTCAACCCTCAACCCTAAACCCCAAACCCTAACCCTTAAATTGTCTTAAACCCTAAACCCGAAACCCACCAGTTTCTTCACCATGCCCACTCGTTTGTTTACCATGCCCACAAAAAACTTTGCCATGCCCACGGCGGCCAATTTACCAAAATGCCCTTGTGGCTTTGGGCATGGTAAAGTTTTCCGTGGGCATGGTAAATTTTTCCGTGGGCATGGCAAAGTTTCTCCCTGGGCATTGGGGAGGTGCCCACGGCCAACTTTGCCATGCCCACAGAAGACTTTACCAAAGTGTCCTTCGGTAAACTTTTACGTGGGCATGGAAAAGTTGTCCATAGGCATGGCAAAGTTTGCCGTGGTCAGAGATATCCCAATATGGGTTGTCCCGGGGCCCCCGGGACGGGTGGTCCCGGGCGCCCCCCCCCCCCCCCCCTCCCCCACGGGTGCTCCCGGGTCCCGGGACGCCGCGTGTCCTGGGGCCCCCGGACGCGAGAATTGGAAATCTGCAGTGTGCCGCCATTCCTAAACCCTAAACCCTAAAGACCCTAAAGACCCTAAAGACCCTAAAGACCCTAACGACCCTAAAGACCCTAAAGACCCTAAAGACCCTAAAGACCCTAAAGACCCTAAAGACCCTAAAGACCCTAAACCCTAAACCCTAAACCCTAAACCCTACCGAACCAACGAAGCTCAAGGCGCCCCAACGCGTCCTGGAAGTCCCGCTCCAGGGCTTCGAAGGCCGAAGCCTGGCTGAGACTTCTGCAAGCCTTTAGGGTTTAGGGTTTAGGGTTTAGGGTTTAGGGTTTAGGGTTTAGGGTTTAGGGTTTAGGGTTTAGGGTTTAGGGTTTAGGGTTTAGGGTTTAGGGTTTAGGGTTTAGGGTTTAGGGTTTAGGGTTTAGGGGGCTCAGAGGTGGTTTTTCTGGGTGCTTCGAGGTTTGATATTAGCTTATAAGACCCCTAAAGCCCCAAACATTGAACTCTAAGCGGCACATTGAACTCTAAGCCGAGCAACCCTCAACCTCGCCAGCCTAAAACCTTGAAACCCTGAACCCCAAACCTTTAGCCCGAAACCCTACATGCGAAACCCTAAACCCGAAACCCTAAACCCTAAACCCTAAACCCTAAACCCCAAAACCGCCCCACCACAACAAGCAAAGCCCAGAACTCGCCTCGAACTCCCCCTCGGCCGCATCCTTGCCAACCACTGCGGCCTGCCGGTGACTTGGGTTGGTGGGTTGGTGGGTTGGTGGGTTGGTGGGTTTAGGGTTTAGGGTTTAGGGTTTAGGGTTTAGGGTTTAGGGTTTAGGGTTTAGGGTTTAGGGTTTAGGGTTTAGGGTTTAGGGTTTAGGGTTGGTGGGTTGGTGGGTTTGGGGTTTAGGGTTTAGGGTTTAGGGTTTAGGGTTTAGGGTTTAGGGTTAGGGTTTAGCGGTTCAGGGGTGTAGAGTTTTAAGGGTTTAGGGTTTTCGGTTGGTTTAGGGATTAGGGCCCTGGAACTAAAAGTGTCAAAAGCAGGTGTATCAGCGCAATCAGGGGCCAGCTCCTGCAACGCAAGGGAGTATGAGGAGAGCCAACAACTACACCACTGCGGCTGTTTCCTAACATAGCGGTACCCCCCTTCGCACCCCAAACGAGTAGAATCCCCTTTTGCAAGGAGTCCCACGCAATAGGGGAATCTCCCCCCTCCCCCCATGATTTAAGGCTTTGGCTTTTGGGGGGGGGGGGGGGCGGAACCCTAAACCCTGAACCCTGAACCCTAAACCCTAAACCCCAAACCCCAAACCCCAAACCCCAAACCCTAAATTGCCTAAAACCCAAACCCTCAACCCTCTTGGGTGCAGCCTCGGCTTCGCCAGCCATGGCTGCCAAAGGATCCCTAAGCCAAAGGCTTTTGTGTGCGGGGTACTGGAGGGGAATACTGTACTAAGAATATTCCTTTAAGGACCCCTTTGTAATTAGAGTCATAATATTCCCTTAGGGTCCCTTTGTAAGTATAGCAATAGTATTCCCTTAGGGCCCCTTTGTAATGATACCAAAAATACCCCCCCAGAACCCTATTAGAATGATTCAGGCCCCTGCAGTACGTGATGTCTGCTTGAGCTGTGCACTTGGAGAAGACAACGGGGCTGGAATACTGGAGCAGGGCAGTTGGCTGCTGGTGTCACTCCGACTACACAAAACACACACATGGTCTGGCATGTCTTCTGCGAGCACCCTTCCTTTGACACGCGCGCCAGGAACAGCGGAAAGCAACATCCAACGCAGCCCGAGCCATAAACCCTAGTAACGTTTCATAAAGCTCTCCAGCTGCAGGGGCGTCTTGCAAACTTGCGGAGACCACTCAATGCCGGAATATGAAACACTCCACGAAGCTGGCAGCGCAAGATCGCAAGCTTTCCGCTTCAAGTCACTATGCTTGCTGTGCTTGTGATTGTGGTTATTGATGTTCTAAGAAGAATATTAGAACTATTATTGTTTTTGTTTTGTTGATTGTGGAGAGCAAACCTGGAAGTTTAGGGGCCAGCCGCAACACCTGCGTTCGAAGGGGGCACGACCATCACTACGACCATTGGGTGAGAAAAAAAAACATCCATACGGGTTTAGGGTTTAGGTCTAGGGCTTGGACAAGGGCTTAGGGTTTAGGGTTACAAGGGTTTAGGGTTGCGGGATGACCCCAATCACTCAATACTGATCAAATGACCCAAAGTACCACAATAGTCATAACAACCGAACCACCCATAACAAGCATCATCACCACAAAAGTCTTAATCGGAAATATTGCAATCATAATTATTCTGACTATGAGTATTTTCACAATAACAATAGCAACAAGAATAGTAACAATCATGACAACAATAAGAATAATCACCATAAGGGTTCAGGAGTTAAGGGTTTAGGATCCGCCCAAAAAAAGAAGCTGTGACTTGGGTTTGAGGTCCAGGGCTTTCGGGGAGGTTTTCAAGTAGGGTTTAGGGTTTAGGGTTTAGGGTTTAGGGTTTAGGGTTCAGGGTTTAGGGTTTAGGGTTTAGGGTTTAGGGTTTAGGGTTTGGGGTTTAGGGTTTAGGGTTTAGGGTTTAGGGTTTAGGGTTTAGGGTTTAGGGTTTAGGGGTTAGGGTTTAGGGTTTAGGGTTAGGGTTCCCCTCAACAAGCCCTGCCCCGATTTTGCCGATTGGCGTCATCTTCCCTGGCCAATCATCAAGGTTACTTGTGAAGAAGCCCGGGGTCATGGGAAATCTCATCCTCCGGCTGCGGGACGCACTTGCCCTGCTAGAACTCGGTTGGCTTGGGGTCTGTTCCCTCATGACCTCGCGTGGCACTTCGAAACATTGGGCTGTACACTGTACAGAAAGCTTAAGGTCAGGCCCCCATACAGCAATCGCCTCCTTCAAGCCAGTATCGGCCCCCCGTTTAAGCCATAAACATGCCTGTATGCGGGGCCTAGCCTGCCCTGGCCCTGATTGTTTCGGAACCTGGGGGTGTTCGAGCGGCATTGAAATCACTGCGGCCGTGCTTGCTCTTCTCTCGATGAACACCGCAAATGGATCTCCTTTTTGGGAAACAGGAGGATTCCTAGGAAGTTCAACATCCAGGAATTCCAAACCTTGGACTGGGCTGATGACTGGGCCACTGACCAGCCCTGTCCCTCACCGCTGTAGGCTAGCATGAGAGTCTCGGACAAAAAACACAAGACTGAATCTTAGGGTTCTGACGTCCCAAGCTGCCACCAAGACCAGGGTCCAGCAAAGCGGGCCTCTCCATGCGCTTCTACTTCGCGGCAGCTTCGGAATCGAAAGCCTCGGGGGCCCTATGGAGAAGGCCACATGTGGGGGCAAGCGGCCTCTCTCTCGAGGATTTTTGCCCACACAGCACTTGCCTTGAGCATCTTCAAACATGGACCGGGGCTTCCTCAAACGGCCACAGGAGTTTTAGCCGATGCTTCTTATGCCCAGATACAGCACGCTGAAGCCGGATGTCGGCGCTCACAAAGCGGGCTGGGCTGTACTTGGCTGAGGGCAGATGTATCACCCAAGAGCCGAACTGACAGAGATGTCAGTGGTGGGGACCCCAAGGTCGTCGTATGCGACGTCCTCACACAACTTTGTGATGTGAGCGACGCGGGGGACGGAGTCCAAGTGCCAACACGACTCCTGGACCCCGCTGGACCCCGCCAGCCCCAGCCATGACAGCATCTCCCCAAGACCTCTACAGGGCCAGGAGCTTGCGGAGCTGTCGGAGCCGTGCGAATCATGCTGTGCAACCGGAACCCAAAAGACTCCTACGAGAGGGCGGGGTCTCTGTATGACTTTGGGGGGCCCGCAAACCGCGAGCCTTCAAAAAGGTGCAGGTCACTTAGACCGGGGCCCACCACCCAGAAGAGCATGGCGAACGTTCTGGTGGCGACTGGGGATTCGCGGGTTTACTATCGGGCTCTGACCACCACTACAGCCCCCCCAAGTGCCTACAACCATTGTATCCCAAGCTCTCGACACTGAGCAGCTCGTGAAGCGATGGCTCCCCCAGCTCCCCATTGGACTAGAGGCACCTCGATGCTTTCGAAAGGCAAACGTGTCATGGCGAACTCGCACTGGCTAGGCACATCAGGGCAGCGGCAAGGGAAGCAGCTACACGGCGAATGCAACTGCAGTAGCAATGCAGGTGCAGTTAGCAGCGAAACTGCCCATAGACTTATTATCGCTGTAGTAGTCATATTATTCATACTCGTGGCGCTGTTACTCGTCGTTGTTGTTCTCAAGCCCTACAGGTAGTAGCAGCAGCAGCCTACTCCACGACACCACTGCCTCTAGTCCGAGATTGGAAAACCAGCTCGAAATCATCCCGGCAGTAAGTTGGTCTGCAAGGAGCCACAAGCACCAAGAAGGGTTTAGGGTTTAGGGTTTAGGGTTGAGGGTTTAGGGTTTAGGGTTTAGGGTTTAGGGTTTGAGTGGAGTTGCTGATCGGCGAGGAGCTCCCCTATACATCCCATCTTGCAGCACGGGGATGTTCTGCAGAACAGAATGTGCGGAGAACCAGGCATGCTGTAGCCGGGTCTGCATCGCAGTTCTGTCATGGTGCCCCCCCGGGCTCGACTCAAGCACTTTTTCTGAACCCTAAACCTACATCTTGTAAGACCCTATACCTGAAGAACGGATTTACAGGAATCTTGCGCCGGGGAGCGATTCATGGGTGACTGGGCTCCCCCCAGTCCTAACCTACATCTGGCCTACATGTCCTACACTCCATCTTGGTGCATGCCACAGACTGACGCTCTTCTGGCTATGGCACGCAGACTCTGCAATCAGATGGCCTCTGTTCACACTTGCAAGAACAAAAACCATCTGAACAACTCAATGCGCAACAGGTCTGCTGTAAGATGCCAAGTCTGGTTGCAGCGGTGGGTTACAAATTCTCTTCGGGTTACCGCCGGACGACTGCCGGCCACGGCTACAAGTTCAAAAAGCCTGCTGTCTGCCACGCTTGTAAGATGGCTGTATCAACACTGTATCTGCGTGCAGATCGCCTCTACGCCTACATGAAAGGAATCTATTTAGACGCACCTCTTGGTGGCCGATGCAGCAACCGCACCACCCAAGGGTAAGAAGCTGAGGGCATGCTTCTGTAACCAAACTTTGCTAACTAATTGCAAAAAGAGGGAGTGGACTTGGAGCCAGGCACACCAGCAGACTGACCAGAGAACTCGCTGGTTCACCGGAGGCTCCCGTTCGCTACAAAGCATAGGTCAGTTCCAGTCGGATGGGCTGTACGAACACGCGGAGAACCCAAGTCTCAAAACGATCGCATAAGGACCTACCAAGCGTTTGCTTCGACTGGAAACGTGATTTGTCGTATTAGTCACGCGGCTGCATGATGGATCCCCTTTTGCTGTGCAATGTGGTTTCTTGTTGGCAGTTACGCCAATGAATACAGTGCCGCCGGCCACTGCAAAAAGGGCTCATGCACGCCACAAAGTCGATATGTGTACATCCCGCACTCGGGGGCATACGAAGAGATTCTCTCCAGTCGTGGCTGAATCTCTGAGACTCAAACCTCAAGACGAAACCCTAGTTGCTGAGTAGCCTGGGCGAGAAAAGGTCAACCTTTCAATCATGGTAGGATTCTAGATACCCCAACAGGTTCAAAGTTACCTACTCAGCTACTAAGAACCCTAAACCAACTAAACCCTGAGACGCATGAGCTCCTCCGTTCATGGCACTATCTTGCAGACGAAGAGGCTCGTTCCACTAGGTAAACAACTAGGTCACTTCAGCCTTGTGCAGTGCTCAGGGCAAAAATAGCGCAGTTGCCCTAAACCCTAAACCCTAAACCCTAAACCCTAAACCCTAAACCCTAAACTGTATTCCTGGCGGCTTAAGCTCCTATGGGAGGCTGCAGGTTTACGTCCCTGTTACGGACTGGTAGTGTCAGGGGGAGCATCCCAAGTTTGTGCCTAAACCCTAAACCCTAAACCCTAAACCCTAAACCCTAAACCCCCTAAACGAAGAAGAGAGAGCAGCCACAACCTGAGAGAGGGAGATGCCTTCATCCTTCTTGGTCTCTGCACAGGTTTGCAAGGGTCGCAGCTGAAACATGGCGCCTGTTTGTCACGACTCAACACTTGCCAAAAAAAGAAGAGGGTTCAGGGTTTAGGGTTTAGGGTTTAAGGTTTAGGGTTTAGGGTTTAAGGTTTAAGGTTCCAACAGAAGCTCACACATGGCGCCGTCTGCTTGCCTTTGCCCACCAATCGCCAATCAGATTCCTCAGGCTCGGGGGGATTAGGGTTCTGCTGCAGGCTGCCAAGGCATCTGAAAGGCTTCCCAATACCAAGGTTCACGGGTTTTGGGGAGAGTGATCAAAACTTGTCA